ATGAAAGTTACTTATTATTAACCGAATTATGTCCTAGAATAAAATACGCTATAGGTCGCTATAGAAATCGAGAAAAATGTAAATATACAACTAATGGTTTTTATGTGCCTCCAAAATAATTTCTAAATATACTATCACAGAGTCAAACGTCAAACTATGATTCTGATGTATTATATATTGAAATGCAACAAGTCTAATTAAACCTAAAAAAAGAATTGTATAAATGGTGTTACTCTTTTACTAAAATAACTTTGAGAAAATTCATCAATTTCTTTCATTTCGATCCATAGTAGAATATGTTTTAGATAAAAGTATAGTTTACGATTAAATAAAAAGATTCAAGGGACAGAATAAAAAGAGACCTTAGATATTTTTATAAGATGTTTATTATATTTACTTATTGTTCTTTAACTTCGCGCAATCTCCTAACAGCAGACCTAACAGATGCAGCTGCTGTTGTGGAGTAAACCCATGCCCCTCCAGCAACCGTCCTCTTGCAGCGTTTGCATGACCATATTCCAACAACACTGCGTTTCATTGCATCCTACAGAGAAAAAAGAAGTATAATATATACATAAAAAAATATAAAACCTTAATATGATGTACATATGGTGAAATTGAATATATTACCTTGCCACAAAATGTGCAGGTATATTTACTGTGTTGAGTAATTTCCATCTTCTTAACCATCTTCCTGAGTGAGGCACCATATCGGGTACCATATTTACCGGTGATTCCTACCTTCTTCGTGCGCTTTGCCTGAAAAGAAAGAGAGATAAATTATAGTACATTACAAGCTACACTAGAAATATTTATATGAACATGACACACACAGGTTATGTTAGTTACATTACTGTAACTGCTTTAGCTTTCTTATCCTATAATTAAGAAACAAATTGAAAGAACTGTCACAATAAGTTCTTATACTTGAAAATGATTATTGAGACGAAAATATAAGTAATAATACATGTCTCTGAAAATATACAAACATAACCTAAGATAACTAAAACATGTCATTAGATTATTTATAATTTACAAAATGTTATAATATATATATCAACACTTGATCGATGAATAACTTTGTCACACCACACTTGATTTTATCAATATTTCAGTAAGATTCACGAGATATTTATCAATAATAACTCTTACCATTTTATATAATTATTCGGTACGTTCGTACGTTCTCAAAGGACCGGAAAAGGAGTAGAAGTAGAGTGAGCCACTAGCGAAACTCCGCGACTTTCGAAAATCAATTTATAGTATGTATACGCTGACAGACAAATGTATGTGCGTCTTATTGTTAATAAAGTAAATCGTTGTTGTAAAAATGGAAACCATATCAAATACTGGCTTATGTGTGAAAATAAAAGTACTATAAAACTCAATCCAAACGTCTTTTTATTCATAGATTTTTCTAAACCTTTTATCTTCAGTCCTACGCATTCTTTTCCCTTTAATGCCAGTGAAAAAGTTTTAACTCTGACATTTCATTGACTTAAACTACTTACTAATTGTATCAGGAGAACATGCGAGGAGGTATCACGAATTGCTTTGTTCGGCTTACGTTTAACTTGTACTACTGAAATTTCGAGTGTCAGGAGAACATGATAATCAGTGAGGAGGTATTCGAAACTTGTTTGTCCGACTTGTTGTTAAGTTATACTACTCGCGAGACATTTTACGAAAATTTCTGCTGAAATGTGAATATATGTACATAGAGCCTGCTGGGTTCGTTCTGTCTCTCTCGATCATTTCTCGGTCTTTTCCTAAAGCAACTACACGAAGGTGGATGCACAGTAGAATTGTAGGGATAGTAAGGTTCTTGAATTGGGAGAAGAAAAAGCTCTTGAATTGAGAGACAACTGCAATGTTTTTAGATGACCCTGCATTGCGTACATACTGGCAGCTCTTGTGAGGAATAAGTTTGTACAGCACTAATTGGTGCAGTGGCGAACGCTGAAGATGTTAGCCAAATTACCGACAGTCGATTTTGGCTAACAGTTTGAAAGTTTTGCCACTGCACCAATTGGCATTGTACACAGACCTCAAATTAAGATTCACTTTTTCTCCACAAGAGGCGTCATAGCCGCCTGAATGTGTACAATGCAGGGTCGCCAAAAAACATTAATTATGACAAAATTAGGGTATAAAAAAATAAACCAAGGCTACGGAATTGTTTACAAGAAACTACTGCATCGTTATCATATAAATAAACAAATGACAATATTACAAAACATAATTAAGTGCTCTATGAAGTTTGAATGACTATTACTTCAACTAATAATATTTTGTGTTCTAATTAAAAATTAAATTCGATGTGAAATTATAGTCATCGGCTTATTGTTGGTCACACACATCTTATTCGCATTTGTAATTTCGCGCGCTTTGTTCTCCACAAACGTGTTATGGCTGCAATGAAACTTGCTATCGTATATTTGCTTGATTGGAGAAACGAGTGCTTCGAAAAGTAAACTGGCGGGTGAGCGGCACCTCTTTTCGTCTTCCGTGGACATCACTGACCTAAAATGAAATAAAAAAATCAACCTAAAGTAACGGCAACACTGTATATATGTAGGTCATCAAGGTTACCGAATCCGAGAAGACGAAGATGAAATTTAAAGCCCGATCTTCACGACACGCGCCAATCACCGGAAATTGAAATGCAATGGCGTGCCGATGGAAAGCGCGAATTCAAATCGCGCGTTGTGAGAAAATCAACCCGCGCATTTATGTTCGTTTGCTTCCGACATCGGTGAAATATTATTTCGTGTACCCACAGTTCTCCATCCGACTACCGGGGAGAAAGGCTGAAGGCGTTGCCGACGTAAAAAGAGCAGAGCGTATAAAACTGCTTAATACGAGAAAGGCACGGTGAGTATGCAATTCACAGTCCGGTCGAAAAATTTTCACGGGCAGGTAAGCCGTAGCTGTGACCCGAATACATATGTACACCTGACCGTTAGATTTCGCGGAGGGTTGTACAGGCCTGGTATCAGGATCGCAGTTGGATCTTGGCCGCAACGTAGAAAGGATTGGCTGTGCAACGGCGCATGAGAACACTCGTTAAACCGGCCTGAAATGACGTAGCCAGTGGATCCCAGACCAGCGAGGCCCGTGCATGTTAAGTCAGTGTTGCTCGTAGACTGCGGTGCCTCCGAATTAAACAGCCTGTAGTGATTCACACTTGATCCCTTATCACTCCCATTAGCAGAACCGCTAATCGTGGCAAACACCGTGCAGAAGTGCGAGCGTGTCAATTGGTACGAGGGCGCCGGCTAACGATGGTCGTCAAAATCTACATATCGGGTATCAGCGGCAACAAAGAAGTGAGTGCGAAACAACTGCAGCCGAGCACCGCATAATGATATTTTGTCCGAGAGCGGAGAGCCAGAAAGAGAGAGAAAGTCTCTGTATGCGTGATGTGCGTGTAACCGCACGGCTCTGTGTGCGCGCGCGTACGTGTGCGACTCGAGGGAGAATGCCAGATTTACCGGGCACCTGAATTCTTACGATATTTCACGGCTATGTTGGATCGGGTTACATCGAGAGCCAACTGACCGTCGCATCGATTTAATCGCCGACATAACTGTCACCGGGAATCGTTATAAATCCGCGCAGTATGACCCCAACTTCGCACGGGACCCGGACACGGTTTTCGTGCGAGTCGATGCACTTGCTATCGCGGAAACGTATGTTAAACTCTCGGACAATGACCGAGGCCTTCCTTAACAAATTGAACGTGAAATGTATGCATCGCAGTTGGGCACGCTAAGATCAAGTGAAATTTTCAATACGATTGATTAATTCATGCGTACGGAATTGGACGTCGATTACCTATTGCAAACGTTACTTACTCATCGATCGTCAATTTCTGATGAGAAATATGAATCATTGATCGTCAATTCGCGATCGTCATTATTACGATTAATTTATATGTATAATATTAAATTTATACATGCAATACATTTAATAACAATTATTTTTATCAGATTAATTATTTTGAGTAATTTTTCGTAATAAGAAAATAATGGAAATATGCATTATTCGTATTTAAATATTTATTTCATAAAGAATTTTAGCAGTTCGTCATTGATGACAACAATTAAAGTTTTTATTGTCTATTCAATTCACATTTGTTTTCCAGGTAAAAAAAAGACAACAGCGTGTCTTAATGATATTAGATAGTAAAAATGTAGAGTATGAAACGATTGATATAACAGAACCAGGAAAGGAAATGGAGAAGGAATTTATGCAGTCTAATAGCATTGCAAGAGATAGCAAGTACCCATTACCTCCACAGATATTTCATGAAGAAGAATATTGCGGGGTAATTATTGCCATATAAGCTAATACAGCTCTCTAAAATATAGTACCATATTCAAAAAGTCTATAAACTTCTAAGTTTCTGATTAGATCTATTAATAATCATAATGAATCATCTAATAGGATTATGAGGATTTCGATTTGGCAAATGAGATGGATGAATTGGAAGAGTTTTTAAAAGTGGCTCCTCCTGCTAGTGCAGCAGGTGCAGCTCAGAACAAAAACATTCAAGAAAATGGAAATACCACAAGTAGAGAGGTGAATTTCATGAAATTAATATTGTTTGATAGGTAGCAAGTATAAGTGTAATTTCACAAATTTCCAGTATCAATTGTTTTAGTCTTGTTTATTTACTTGTGTACTGCCCTTGCTACTAAATTTACACTGTCCGTATGTCCATACTAACTACTACACGTTTATGTGTTAGCCTTCCACAGATAAGGATGCAGTGGCTGTGCAGAATGAAAGGTAAGATATGTATATGTATCGATTGCATAATTATTTAATCATTCAGTTAAATTGGGTAATGACTATAACATCAAAGATATGTATGTGCACATGATGAGAATAGTAAGCTTTAAAAATAACAGTTTTTTCTTGGATGACTCAATCACATCCTTCTTTTGCTATCTCAGCTTAGAGGAGAGGACGACTCTGCCAAATGAAAGTATACAGTCAGATGAATCTAAACCTGCAGAAAACGATGACGGGATAAATATTACAGCCGAGGAAGATACGGAACATCCAGACGAAAGCGCCGAAAAGAACGAAGAAAAATCGAATGATCAAGAAAAAGAAGAGTAGGTGGGAAATAAACCCATTTAATGGAGGGACGTTTCATACTTCCTTGAGATCCTTGGTTTTCTACCAATAAGGGTATTTTATAAAAGCTATATTTATCATGTTTCTAAGGCTGAGTGAAGGTACTGCCAGGAATGAACAGTATAAATGAAGTATAAACTGCACTTTTATAGAACTATTTTACATTGCAATTGAGTACGTTTTCGTCAAGAACTTTTTATAGGTCTAGCTAGAAAGGATATGAATTATTTTCATCCTACTTCATATCAGTAGTTAATACCTAATGTTTTTAATTCCTTATATTAATTACCTTGCATTGTTTATATAGTATTTTATTCTTTACTTTTAAATCGCAAGTTTTAACGATGCGCTAGGAGTAATAAATTTTTCAGTATTGAGTTATTCTCTCTTCTATCAGTTGCGAAAAGTATAACAATGAAATTTGGTAAATTTATCTGATTTGGAAATTGTTTCTCTGTAGTCAATTAAAGTTTTATATTGAAATATTATTTTCCTACTCTCGCATACAATTATTTCAATAGATTATCAGAAGTCTTCGTACGCTTATTTATAGGCCAAGATGTAAACTATTTACTTATCAGTTGTACTAAGACATGACTTCCGTAATATCGAGTCTAGAATATTTTATTCTTGTCTTCATAAAATTTTAGCTTCGTTCCTTTCGTTCTCTCAAGATTCTTATGGTAAAGGTTTCCCATTACACGATGAAAACAATATCGAACAGTACGGCACTCAGTTACGTATGAAATACAATTACTACAAAAGACGACACAAAATTAGTCATAGTAATAATATCATGCGCACGAAATCTATATTATGATCAAGTACATCCTAAATATACAAGAAATCGAGAGATCGAAATAATTCTCGACATTATTATTATTATTTCTAAGAACGTTAGGATTAATTTAAGACATTTCTTAGTTTTACATGACGTGTCTGCCAAAATTACGCATCAATCCGTTGAAATTAGATTTATAACGTTTCCATACTTGTTACGGATAATATAAATCAACAGGTATTCCAGGAAAATTAAAGGTAATACAAAGATAGATTAATTTGTAGGAACATTTTTTCATGCTACAAATATCTACTTACATTTAATTCAATTTACTAAACCGCTAAGAATATTAAACCCTTTTGCCGAAGGCCTACTTACGACTCGTTCCTAAAAGCGAAGGCCGATTAATCGTATTTGGTCCTACTTTGTTACCTAAACAGCTTGAGATTTTAATTATTTTACATATATAACGTTGACTTAACTGATCACATAGTAGGTGGGGATTAATCACGAACAAATTGTAGCTTTACGCAAATTGTTATGAACTGTTCTGTTACGAAGTGGAATAAAATATAGAACGCAAGATTCATCGTAACTGTGCACGAGATGATAAGCCTGAGTAATTTTAATATACCGTGTACCGCAGCTTGTTTGGATATCAGGTATTCGTTATAAACTAATTATAGAAGAGGATAAATAAGTAAAAAGCTTTACCTAAGTGAGTCAAAGTTGTCCACCATACACATATGTTGTTATTATAAAACACTGTGTCCGGAAATAATAGGTGTTGGACGTAAGCATTGAAGTTAATAAATTTTAACATGGTATATTCAAAATATATATTTGCGAGAACAATATTCATTATACATCATGTATATGAATCATGCTGATCATTGTTACATGCATATAAGACTTTACTAATAAATATCATAATAGAAGTTTAAGAAGCTGTTTAAGTATCTTTTATATACATAAATTTTATGTGTTCATGTAAACAAATTTTCATTCCAGAAATGCCTGTAATACACAGTGTGGTAAGTAATATATTACAAATATGCCAGCTTTTTTAATTCACTGTAATACATTCGTATATTCCTTTTTATATATAGATATGTATAAAATTTTGTACTTTCTTTTTTCACATAGTTAATAAATTACCGTGCTTCCTAGTTCTGTATCTACATTCGGTATTTGATAATCTAGCTAACATTGTACGTACAAATTATATTCATATATATTAATGATTGTTTTCAAAAATAAATATATGTTGTTTGTAAAAACAATGACTAAGTGACTAGAATTGTGATTTATAAATACAAAACATAAATATGCTTATATA